GATAGAAATAAAAAAATACGGGGAGGATAAAAAACCAAAATAAAAGAATGAAGGAAAGTAAGAAAAAATCGCACTTTATTTGTGGACTTGTGAAAAATTCGTAGGCACCCGAAAAAAAACTCATTCCCTTTAGGATATAATCTGTTTAAAATTCTATTAGTAATAATTTTTCTTTCTCTTACTTGACTTAATTCTTTTTTTTTTTAAGGATAAAATTCTTCGTTTTTATATTGGATAAATGTGGTTTTGTAACGTCTGAAATTAATGTTTTGACCGGTCTCTAAATTTCAATTCTCATTTTATTTAATAAATTTAAAAATAACAATTAATAGTCACTAAACTTTTTAATCAGTCTTACAATTCTACATCAAATTTACAAGGTTAATATATCTCTTTTTTTTTTTTTTTCCAATTGCTTCCAGTTAAATGTCTATTGGGAAAATAAAATTAAAAAATCATTTTTTAAGAGACAATAAACAACTAGTAAGTTTATAACAAAATTAATTAAAATGTATGTCAAAATTTCATACCTTAAATTGTAATTTAGCAAAATTTTTAAAAGATAATAAAAATAACAAAAAGACAGTAAATTATCTTAATGATATTACATTTTGTAATATATAATTATATAATCATTATTTTAATGATATAAATTGTGTTATTCTTAAAATATTTCAAAAATATTACTTTATTTCAACATTACTATTTAAATTTTGTTATCTGTATAAAATATTTTTTACACATTCTTAAAATTTGAGTTGTGAAAAGAATAACGACTAATGTCAACCTACACTTGGTTTCTTTAGATCCTGATTGGACCGAGATAAATGGGTGATTGATGAAATAGCCTGGAAAATCCATCTGCTTACCTTGGATAACCCAAAACCTATATCCGTGCCCCGTGTTTGCCTTTGGTGGTCCAATTAGCCTAAAAGCCCGTTTCTAGTCTTTGGCGATCCAAATAGTCTACCGTTAGAAATTACGGAAATAGTAGAAAATAGGCCAATATGAAAAGCTTAAAAAAATATATAGGCTAATTTTTAGTTATAAAAATTAATAGATCATAATTTATTAAGTTATGGTTCATAATCAGATAAGTTATGGATAAACTTGTCAAGTTATGGTTCATAACTAAATAAGTTATGGACAATAACTTGTCAAGTTATGATTCATAACCAGACAAGTTATGGACGAAAACAGTAATTTGGCATATTTATTAACTTATGTAAACTATTGGCCTATTAATTTTAATTCATCTTAAGTTTTAGCATATTTCTCTCTTTCTCCCTAGAAATTACGTAATCTTGACAAAAATTCTTTAAAAGTGATTGATCAAGATTTTTACTCTTTATTTTTTATTTATAATCTTTTTAGTTAAATAATTACACTAAAAAAAGGTATTTATCAAGAATAAAGGGTAAAAGTCCAGACTCATATACTTTTAAAAGTAAATTCTCCATTTTTCTTAAAAATTGGGTATTGTGATTTGATTTCCTCCACAACCCATATTATTTTAATTCCTCATACTCATAGACAACTTTCTAAGTGAGTTACGAGCCTAATCAGATTGAACAAGATAGGCCTGTTTACTTTTATTGACCTTCCAAAGTACATCCCACTTGGAGATCCCTAAAGCAGGGATTGGGTCCACGTACCTTACTTTGGGCCATATCACGACATATGGATTGAGTTTGTAAGAAAAAAATGAAGAATTTACTCTTAAAAATGCATGAGTCTGGACCTTTATTCCTTATTCTTAATAAATAATGTAATTATTTAACTAAAAAGGTTATGAATACAAAGTAAATAGTAAAAAATTTGACCTATACACTTTTAAAAGATATTTATCAAGATTACCCAAATTTAACAGGTATCAACATCTTCTAACCAATATTCAAATTTAGCACTTTGACCAATTTAAATCTTTACTCGCATATGTTAAATATTTTGGATGCTCAAATGTTTTTTCTTCATTTAATTTTTTAAAAACTAGCTTATACTCAAAAAATAAGTTATATATCAAATCATTTACAAACTCATTCAAATAACCTATTAATTTATGTGTTGTTTAAAAAACCCCATTTAATTAAGAATTTGAAAATTAATGCTGGATCAAACTCACTATGGGCACCTTAATTAGGTCTCACTAGAACCAAAGTCCAACCCTTGTAAAGCTTGATTTTGTATCTCTCGCGGAGTTACATGCACGCCAAATACAAAAATAACGCAATAAATTCTTCATATACTTTTGTAGAAACAATAGTTTAAATTGTTTATTTATTATGATGAAATTATTTTCGTTAAAGAAAATGATTTTCACTATCAATTTTCTTTACAGTCTTTTCAGTCAAATTATTAAATTTGTTAGTAATATTATTTGTAAATGTGAAAAAAGGTTGAAGTATATTATTGTTGGTAATATTTTTTTGTCGTTTTTTTCTTTTTAAGACAGATCCGACCTTCTTTTTTTTTTTTTTTTTTTTTTTTCCCCTTTTCCTGAGAGATCAGGAAATTTACTTTATCTGTTAGTTTTTTTAATCATTTTATTTTAAGGCAAGGTCTTCAAATTTAAAATTTTAGTATTAGTTATTACTTAATTACCATTCTAGTATTCTTTTAATGGTGTCTAGGGTGTTCGCGGTCGGTTTGGGTAGTTTTTTTTAGAAACCACCCAAACCAAAAATAATTTTTTTTAGACAGGTTGGTTAGGTGGTTTGATATTTTTGACAAAAATCAAATTAAACCAAATCACTCATATGCAGTTTGGACGGTTTGATTTCGACCGTTTAAGCTTAATACTAAAAAAATTTTCAATAATTCATAAAAATTATAATATCATTAATCAATAAAAATAAAAATAAGATTCAAGTTTATAATATAACTCAATAATAATAAGAGCTCGTTTAGTTCGCTGATTCGAGTTGAGAAGTAACTTTATGTGAGAGCTTTTTATTGTAGCAAAAAGTTAGATATAACTGTTTTTGAGAGTTTTTTATTGTAGCAAAACTCGAATTTCTAAACTCAAATCGGCAAAATGAACGAGACTTAAATGTCTAACAGTTCATCATTTAAAGTTTTAATACAAACTAACAAAAATATAATAGAGTGTAGTTTATAAGTGTAGAGCATTTATTATGACCAATAAAATTTAAAATGAATATAAAAAACATTTTAAAATTTTAAAATAATATATGTATATTTTTAGGCGGATTATTATAGAGTGTATTTTATAAGTGGTTTGAGTCGTTTAGAGAATTCAAAGTACAAACTAAACCGCCGAAAAAAGATAGATTAAAAAATTGACTAAACCGCTTAATAATTCAAAAATAATTAACAATTTGATTTAGTTTAATTTGAATTAGACTGTTGTAATGGTTTGGCGAATTTTTTTTTTTTTTAAAGTAACTGTATATTCTTGCTTTAAAAGTAGCTTTTAAGAGTTCGCATATTTGTTTTTCTTCATTTTAACAGAATTTGGATAAGATTTTAACGATTAAAAGCATGCACTACAATTATTCTCAAAAAAAAAAAAAAAAAAAAAAATGCATTACTTTTTGGGGCTGGAGCTATCCCTACCATAAAAAAGCTTCACACAAAAAGTCAAGAACATAACATTCGACCATAAGCGAAAGACGTACAAAGCAAAGTAAAATTAGTGAAGAAGGAGACGTTTGATTCATAGATTAAAATCATGTGATTAAAATAATTTTTGATTTATGTTTATTTTTTGTAAGAGAAAATATTGTAACAAATTATGAACTATGATTCAAATCATAGTTTGGAATTCGTTTCATGATTCGAATCACGATTCATGGTTTGCTATAATATTTTTTCTCATAAAAAATATATATAAATAAAAAATAATTCGAATCACATATTTTAAATTTTCTAACCAAACGTCATCTAAATTACAACACAACTCAAATCTTTTTAGATGTATGGTGTAACTCAAATATTAACCGTTCGATGATAGAACAAATTCTTTTAACATTTTATTGTCCAATGGCTAAAAAACTGTGTCGTATAATAGAATCTATGATTTGGGGCTACACACAGAAATAAGCTGATATCAATTAAGCAAAGCCGATTGATGCGCACTATAAACGAGGTATAGACCGTCAGAGGATCAGATTCTTATTTAAAAGAAAGAAAAAGAAAAAAGAAAAAAGAAAAAAAAAGTCCGTTATTTGAGAAAAAGAAAAAGAAAAAGAAAGAAAAAGAAAAAGAAAAAGAAAAAAAAAGAAAAAAAGGGAAATTAGATCCCGTTTATTTCGCTGATTCGAGTTTAGAATTTGAGTTTTACTACAGTAAAAAGCTTTTACAAACAATCAAATCTAATTTTTTTGCTACAATAAAAAATTCTCACATAAAATTACATCTCAATTTAAATTAAAAACTCAAATCAACGAATTAAACAGCCTTAATATTCACGGCTCACGGGAAACGACATATCTTTCTTGCGGTCCACGTAGTACAACCATTGAGTAACGAGGAAAATGGAAGGAGAGAGAAGAGAGACTCCAGAAGTCGAGAAGAAAACTGGAAAAAGCAAAACCCCAAAAATAAAATAATTATTTTCACCAACATCCCTCAAATTTTTAGATTATTCTTACTTTACCCCATTGATTTTAAAAATTCCTCTCTTAATTTTCCTTTTTAAATGTTAGTTTAATCCCTTCTATTAGAATTTTTGTTATTAAGAATAATAGTGCAGTTACATGATATTTCTGTTAAAATTGATTTAAAAAATCCAAAAAAGACGCATGATTATATTTAACCCCCTTATTCTTCATGTGTTTTAGTAAAAATAAAAAAATACTAATAAAAAGGGTTTTAATGAGACTAATACAAACGATAAGGGTTAAAATAGGAGTTTTAAAAATTAACGGGGCAAATTAAGAATGACAGAAAAATTCCAAGGGCAGATGCGGTTAACCCTAAAGTAAAAAAGAAAAAGAAAAACCCAACGTCAAAACACAGAAACACATTATTCTCTCTGCGTTACCCGCCTTTCCGTCCTCTTCTTCCTCTTCTTTTCTTCCTTCCTTCTCAGTCTTTGTCTCTCTTTTCTCTCTAGTTCTTCACTCTCATCACTCTCTCTCTCTCTCCGTCTCTCTGTGACTGTTTCTAGGGTTTCGCCCCCTCCGATGCCATGGACAACAACCACTCAACGACGACGTTCCGGCCTCACAGGCCGCCGGAGCTCCACCGCCGATTCTACCCTCCGTCGAATTCCCGCCCTTTCCCCAACAACCGACACAATTTCGCGGGGAATCCCCACCGCCACCGCCCCTCGCTGCCTGATTTCATGGTCGAGCTCTTCCGCGACCAGCGCGGGGGAGGCCCGGTCCCCGACGTCAAGGCTCTGGCCGACCAATGCAAGTCGGCGCCGGAGAGCTTTAAGACTTACCGGTCCGGTGCCCTAACCGGGGCTCTCCTCTTCCGCCAGTGGGCCGGCGCGCTCGAGGCCGTCGTCTCGCTTTGGGAGTCGCGGCTTGACGGCGCTCACAGCCTTGTTCCGAGGTATAATTCTGTTGTTGTTGTACCGGCCAATCTCCAGGAGCTCGAGGACCGGCTCGTTGCACTTTTCGCGGAGCGAATTCGGAGGTTGATGGAGGGAGAAGAGGTGAAGAAGTGGAATGAGAAGCGTGATCGTGTTCTGGTGGAGCTTGGGAAGGTCTCGAAGTTGCTTACGAAACCGAAGAATGTTAGGGTGTTCAATGAGTTGAAAGACAAGGAAAGAGGGCTTACTTGCGAGAAAGATTTGATGGAGAGGAGAGTCAAGGAATTCAAGTCTGCCATGAATTGTATTCTCGCTTATCTGGAAAAGAAGAGTTTGGAGGAGTTTGGCGAGGATGGTTTACAGGTTCTCAGCTTTGATGGGAAGTTCAATTGGAGTCTGATTCATTCCATGATTTTGCGGGAATGTCGTCGGCTCGAAGATGGTTTGCCCATTTACGCTTATCGGCAGGAAATACTTCAGCAGATTCATAGCCAACAGGTATCGATAAATTCATTCTCTTTCGGATTCTGAGTGTTCCTGTCTCCTGTTTTTTCATTATTTTGTAGGTTATAATATGTCCTTTTTCGGGTAAAATAGTTTTATTGCTATTCAACCATATTGAATTCTTTAACTCGGTTTTCTGTTTGTGGACTTTGGAGGTTATGTTGAACTTAAAATCCTTGGGGAAGAGTTAAGATTTTCACGAAAGGCCATGCCACGGGTGTGGCATGAAACGAATTTATTTTGTGTAACAATGATTTTGTAGGCTTTGTAGAGGTATTTTAGCCAGAATATTGTGTATTACACACTAATGTTATACCTTTTAAAAGTCATTCTTAGACATAATGAGTGTCATGTTGTATCCCCTGCTTCTACGTGTACAGCGTGGACCCTTACGCAGGAGTGAAGACGAACCCTAGAGTCTTACTAAATGGTGTCGCTTAGGTGAAAAAGAAAAGATGATTTGAAACAGTAGGAATGTTGATGAGAGGATAATGATATCTACTATTTTTGTGTTGCGGCATAAAAGTGTAGGTTGGGAAGTGCCATAATTTACCTTCTTGGATATTTGCTTCAAAGAATTTTAAAGATATTGCTCTTTGGTTGATTTTGTTTAGATGGAAAAACTGTCTGTAATTTTGGTTTTTCTCTCTGTTTCGGTCTTTCTTTTGCATTACAAGGAATTCTTGTTTTCATTATTTTTCCTTTTATAAAATTGTTCTTTTTCTCATCATAAAAAAGCGATTCATATAAAAAAAAAAAGAAGTGAAATGGGACTACCTGAGTTCTAAGAATGATAACTAACCTTCAAATGGTATTTTATTTTAGTTTTCCTTATCTAATGAAGACTACTTTGAAGCTGATATGTATGATTTTGAGATGTTTAGCAACTATAGGAAGGAATGAAGTCCTGTGAGCAATTTGCAACGGCCTTGATAGTTGCTGCAATTATTTTAGACACCATTTTTCATTTTTAGTTTTGATAACCCTTTTGGAATTAAATGCTTCTATTTCTTCACCTTTAATTTTACATCCTGCCGCGTCACTCTTTGAATTTTTTTTCCTTTTTTGAAATGGTCTTAAAATAATGGTACATTAGGTATCTTTTTCATTCTCACCTCTTTTCTTCCTTCTAAGTTTCGGTTTAAATAGTTAGCATATAGCAATAATAATAATGGTAATACTAAAAAAAATCCTGTTTATGATGGATTTGCAATTATGTTGGTCCAAATTTCTTTGTATGTTCTTGTCCATTTGTAACCTTTTCACTTCTTATGATATTTGATATTTTTCTCTTCATATCGCTTTTTAGCCTTTCTCCTGACAAGCATTTCCACAGATAATGGTTTTGATCGGGGAGACGGGTTCTGGAAAAAGCACACAATTGGTGCAATTTCTTGCTGATTCAGGAATTGCTGCTGATGAGGCCATTGTTTGTACTCAGCCTCGTAAAATTGCTGCCTCGTCACTTGCAAATAGGGTCAGGGAAGAAAGTACTGGTTGTTATGGAGATCCTTCTGTTGCTTGTTACCCAAATATTTCTTCTTCCGAGCAGTTTGACTCTAAGGTAATATACACGACAGACCACTGCTTACTGCAGCACTACATGGCTGATAACAACATGTCAAAGATTTCATGCATTATAGTGGATGAGGCACATGAAAGGAGCTTGAACACTGATCTCCTTTTGGCATTGGTCAAAAGTTTACTGCGTAAGAGGTTTGATTTGCGACTTATTATAATGTCTGCAACGGCTGATGCACACCAACTCTCAGATTACTTTTATGGGTGTGGGATCTTTCATGTGGTGGGGAGAAACTTTCCAGTTGAGATTAGATATGTCCCATGTAACACAGAAGGAACTTCTGGTCTTGTTGCCTCATATGTGTCTAATGTGGTTAAGATTGCAGGAGACATACACAGAACAGAAAAAGAAGGGGCCATTCTAGCATTTTTGACTTCTCAGCATGAAGTAGAATGGGCGTGTGAGAAGTTTGAAGCTCCTGCTGCAGTTGCATTGCCACTGCATGGAAAACTTTCTTTTGAGGAGCAATTTCATGTTTTCGAGAACTATCCTGGAAAACGGAAAGTTATATTTGCCACAAATCTTGCTGAGACGTCGCTGACAATTCCTGGGGTTAAGTATGTGATTGATTCTGGCATGGTCAAAGAAAGCAAGTATGAACCTTCCAGTGGAATGAATGTCCTCAAAGTAAGCAGGATCAATAAGAGTTCTGCTAATCAACGAGCTGGCCGAGCTGGAAGAACGGAGTCTGGAAGGTGTTATAGACTATACTTGGAATCTGATTTTGAGGCGATGCATCCAAGCCAGGAACCTGAGATTCGGAGAGTCCATCTTGGCATTGCTGTTCTGAGAATTTTTGCTTTGGGTATCAAGAATGTAGAGGATTTTGATTTTGTTGATGCGCCTAGTGCTGAAGCGATTAATATGGCTGTTAGAAATCTTGTTCAGTTGACTGTTGTTAAATCAAGCAATGGTGTTTTTGAATTAACTGAAGTGGGCTGGCGGTTGGTGAAAATGGGGATTGAGCCTCGACTTGGTAAACTGATTCTTGGTTGCTTTGACCATCGGTTGGGAAGAGAGGGCCTTGTACTTGCTGCTGTTATGGCAAATGCTAGTAGCATATTTTTCAGAGTTGGGACTGATGAAGAAAAACTGAAATCTGATTCTCTTAAGGTGAAATTTTGCCATCAAGATGGTGACCTCTTTACACTTCTATCTGTATACAAGGAGTGGGAAGCGGTGCCTAGAGAGAAGAAAAACAGGTGGTGTTTGGAAAACAGCATCAATGCGAAGACCATGCGGAGATGCCACGACACTGTTGTAGAATTGGAATCTTGCCTCGAACGCGAACTTAGGGTTATCATCCCATGTTATTGGCGTTGGAATTCCAACAGATCAACTGATGCTGATAGATCTTTGAAAAAGGTTATACTCTCTTCCCTATCCGAAAATGTAGCTATGTACTCCGGCAATGAGCAGCTTGGCTATGAAGTGGGAATAACTGGTCAACATGTTCTGCTGCATCCCTCATGTTCACTTCTTGTATACAGCCAAAAGCCTAGTTGGGTAGTTTTCAGTGAGCTTCTATCAATCACCTGCCAGTATTTGGTCTGTGTTAGTTCCATCGATTTTGAATCTTTATCCACTCTTTACCCTCCTCCCTTGTTTGACGCATCTAAGATGGAAGAACGCAAATTGCAAATGAAGGTGTTGACTGATTTTGGTGGCACCATGCTTAAAAGATTTTGTGGGAAGGGCAATAGTAATCTGCTCTGTCTTGTATCTCGTATTCGTGAAGCATGCATGGATGCGCGTATTGGCATTAGAGTCAATGTTGATCAGAGTGAGATTGCATTGATAGCCACTTCACAAGATATGGAAAGAGTTGTAAAATTTGTAAATCATGCCTTGGCGTTTGAATGGAAAGGGATGCTTAATGAATGCTTGGAGAAATGCTTGTATCATGGATCAGGTATACCATCTGTAGCGTTATTTGGAGCTGGTGCTGAGATCAAGCATTTGGAACTTCAAAAGAGGTGTTTAAGTTTTGACTTGTATTATTCAAATGATAATTCCATGAATCACATGGAAGAGAACGAGCTTTTGCTGTTCATTGAGAAGTTTTTTTGTGGTAGCATTTGTGCTTTTCACAAGTTCACACCCTTGGGTCACAAAAGTGATGACAAAGAAAAGTTGGGGAGGATAACATTTCTATCACCTAATGCAGCTCAAAAAGCTACTGAGCTGAATCAAGTAGAATATAATGGATTCTTACTAAAGCTCATTCCTTCACAGCCAGCCTTTGGAGGAGATCATAGAATGTTCACTTTCCCTGCTGTTAGGGCTAAAGTCCAATGGCCTCATAGGCAGAGTAGGGGGTCGGCAATTGTTAAATGTGACGCAAATGATGTTGGTGCCTTGGTTAATGATTTTTCTTACCTGATAATTGGAGGTAAGTATGTCCGTTGTGAAGCTAGTAAGAAGAGTGTGGATTCTGTTGTGATTAGTGGACTTGACAAAGAGTTGTCTGAAGCTGAAATCTTTGATGTATTAAAGGGTGCTACGAGCAAGAGAATCCTGGATCATTTCCTTCTAAGGGGGGATGCTGTAGAATCTCTGAATATTGATGTTTGTGGAGAAACACTTCTCAAAGAAATTGCTCCATTTATGCCTAAAAAGAACCACCATAGTACTTCTTGCAGGGTGCAAGTCTACCCACCGGAGCCAAAGGATGCTTTTATGAGAGCACTTGTTACCTTTGATGGGAGATTACATTTAGAGGCTGCAAAAGCTTTGGAGCAAATAGATGGCAAAGTGTTGCCTGGGTTTCGCTCATGGCAAAAGATAAAGTGCCAGCAGTTATTTCATAGCTCTATCTCATGCTCTGTGGCCGTCTATTTTGTGATCAAGAAACAGTTAGATTCCTTAATGCAAAGCGTTATGCGTATAAAAGGTACGTATTGTAGTACAGCAAGTGATATTCGTTTACAGTATATTACTATTGTTGCAAGTTCTTCTCATTTGACAATCTTAGTTTAGTAGTCCGCCATGGTTCTCTTGGCATTTCAACTTAATACATCGATGCAATCACTTACCTTTAGAGATATGGGATGTTTTGCGGCTTTACAATAAAATTCTTGTATAACTAGTTATGTGGATCTTATTACCTTTTAGTTTATTTCGTCATTTTTAGGATGAAGACAAAAGACGGATTGATGTACATAAATGTGTCACACTTTGTAATTTTTTTCCTCAAAAGCTCTTTAACAATCTAAGTTGTTTTTTGACAATTTCAGCCTCGTTTAGGACACTGATTGAGAAGCAGGATATTTTATTCTATTGTGTAGATGACTTTTGCTATGGATCCTTTGAGTTCTTACCCATTGATAGGCTTTTGTACTTTATAAGTTTTCTGCTATTGCTTTCTGTTGTTTACTCTATCATACGAACGTTGTTCAAATTTAAGTTTGGTGATGCCCATGAAAACAAAAAGTTTCTATTCATTCGGTTTTGAGTTTAGCTTGGATCCTCTGTTCCTGTGCAATGGCGTGCACCCCGCAATATGGTTTTATTTTATTTGTTTCGCTTTTCTGGAGTACAAACGGAATGTTAATGTCAACCTTATATCTATGAATTCAAAATCTAAGCCACATACTTGTACCACATAATCAACATGTATTTCTATTGAAATGAGTGTTTGATCTTCACGTTTTTTCTTACTTGTAGGTGTAGAGTGCAGTCTAGAGCGAAATGCTAATGGTTCTTACAGGGTAAAGATATCTGCCACTGCTACAAAAACTGTTGCGGAGTTGAGAAGACGTGTAGAGGAGCTTATGAAAGGGAAGACCATAGACCACAAGAGCCTCACTCCAACTGTTATGCGGCTTCTGTTCTCCAGGGATGGCATCAGTCTTATGCATGCGCTACAACGAGAGACGGAAACTCACATTTTCTTTGACAGGCATAGCATGAACGTACGTATCTGTGGTTCTCCTAACAAGGTTGCTGTGGCCCAGCAGAAATTGATCGACTCCCTTCTAGCCCTCCATGAAAGCAAGCAACTTGAAATCCATCTTCGTGGAAGAACTCTACCTCCTAATTTGATGAAAGAAGTGGTTAGCAACTTTGGACCCGATCTCCGTGGACTTAAAGAGAAGGTACCTGGGGCTGATTTTACTCTAAATGCTCGCAGACATGTCATAATTATGAACGGTGACATAGAGTTGAAGCCAAAAGTAGAAGAGATAATCTACGGGGTTGCACAGTTGAGAGATGGTTCTGCTGAGAGATTTGATAGTGAAGTAAGTTGCCCAATATGCTTGTGTGACATTGAGGATGCTTACCAGCTTGAAGGCTGTGCGCACAAGTTCTGTAGATTTTGCTTGTTAGAGCAGTGCGATTCTACGATAAAAAACCAAGATAGTTTCCCACTTTGCTGTGCCTATAAAGATTGTGGGTCTCCTATTTTGGTCACAGATCTACGGTCTCTCTTGTCAAGTGAGAAGCTAGAGGAGCTCTTTAGGGCATCATTGGGGGCATTTGTTGCATCTAGTGGGGGAACTTACAGGTTTTGCCCGTCTCCTGACTGCCCTTCCATTTATCGGGTGGCTGATCCTGGAACTGCAGGAGAACCATTTGTTTGTGGTTCTTGTTATGTAGAGACTTGTACTAGGTGTCATTTGGAGTATCATCCTTACTTGTCATGCGAGAGGTACCGGGAGTTCAAGGAAGACCCGGATTCATCCCTGAATGAGTGGCGGAGAGGAAAAGACAACGTGAAGAACTGCCTACTCTGTGGACATACAATTGAAAAGATAGATGGCTGCAATCATATAGAGTGTCGATGCGGAAAACATATTTGCTGGGTCTGCTTGGAGGTTTTCGGAAGCAGTGATGAGTGCTACAACCATCTAAGGAATGTGCACATGGCAATTATTTGAGCTTGACGAGAAATTATCTAAATTGGAGCGTTTGAGTCATATTTATCATTGTATATATAGCAAAACTTCTTAATAGGGTTATATTTACACATGTATTATAGGTAGGTGTTTCAGCAAATGATTTGTACATATTACTGATTTACCACCTATTTAATCTTCCCGTTAACACAGAGCTCTCTTTAGTCTTGTGTATAAACTGCAGGGCTTCTCTGTACATGTGTTTTAACACAAGTCCTATTGAAGTAGTCTCTCGCTCTCTGTCGTTACTTATGAATAAGATACTGCATTGTATGCAATTAGTAGATAATACCAGAAAAGTGCTTGGAGCTCGGAATAGAAACAGACCCATCTTTTATTATATTTGAAGCTCAAAAGTTGGTCTAGCCCTAGAAAGAGTACCTTCATACACGAAAAGTGTCGCTTCGGTTTACTACCTTCCATTATGCTTTTACTTGTTTATGTGGTTGTTAAGTGTTTATGCAGAATGGAAACTTCACTCTTCAAATCGACCTCAGGTGACCAGGTAAAATCATCAACCGAAACATCTATCTAAGCAAGAAAAATGATGACTCTTAGGTTCGCATAGAAGCGTTTTGTATTATTTTTTCATTGGTTATGTTTTTATTTTTGGCTCGGTTCGCGTACGAGCTTGATTTGTAACATTTTTGTTGGAAATAAATTTTTTTGTTGATATCTCTTCTAAGTACCATGATATCCATATATACATAACTATTTCTCTGTTTCGTAATGTTGTATTTTACACAACATGTGTACTTTTCTTTGCTTAATTCTAAACCGTCCTATAAACACCACGACAAGATAGGGATGGAATTCTCAGAACAGGTATCTGCAAACAAATGCAAAACCCACGCCAGCAATGCCAAAACAAAACGCCAAAGCCACCACCCAGGTGAAACAAACCCCGTCATCGTCATCTTCGCCGTCATCGTCATCGTCTCTATTGATTCCTTTCCTCTCCTTCTCTGCCCATTTGGAGTACAAGCTCGAAACTTGAAGCTCAAGCAATCTTACCAACTGACGATGACCAAACAACTGCTTGGCCTCCTCAAACACAGCGTTGGAAAGACAATCCCTCTCCTTGGCCAAAACCTCAGCCTTCTTCTCTGCCTCTCTGGCTCGCGTCTGAGAAAATCTCAGCGCCTTGAGGAGCTCCAACTTCTCATGATTCTCACCGTCAAACTTGCTCTGACTTTCACCCTCCCGAGTGCCCATCAAACCGAAAGCCCGGTTCATGGAGGGTAAAACAGTCTTTCTATCCGACCTGGTGAACACCTTCATTGGAGGAGGAAGATCACAGTTCTGCATAAGGTCCATTCCAAAAGTGTTGTTCTTCTGAGAAATGTTGACACCCATAAGAAGCATTTAATTGTAATTCAGCTTTGGGGTGTTTAGTACCCTTCCTGTTGTACCACCAGCCATTGATGACGGTTTCATTGCTTCAATATATGGATAGTTCTCAAGTATTTGCTTAATGGTTTGTCCAAATTTTCCGGGAAAAGAAAAGGAAAGTCGCAGTTTGAGGCGTGGAAGAAATATGGGGCTAGTGGAATTGGTGGGTGAGAGAGAGAGAGAGAGAGAGAGAGAGATAGAGGTACGTGTGTCGCAAGAAAAGGGTGTTGGTAGGATATTAGCAATATGGCTTGGAAACACAGTATACTGGTTGATTTGCTTTTAATATGGGCAAAATTCTTTTGCGTGTTTGGATAGACAAACGTTGAACTTTTTGGTACTAGTGTAGAATCCCACTCACAAGGCTTCCGTCTTTTTCTATAGAGAGGAATAAAATAATGACAATAGAAATTTAGGGAAAGGGTTGGGGATACATTAAATTTTAATAAAGGCGTTTACTAAAAAAATATTTATTTTTTATATTCGTCTTTAATTATGAATCATGAATCATGATTCATAATTCTCTACAGAATTTTTTTTTCACAAAAAATACACGTAAAATGAGAATACGGGGATACATTAAATTTTAATAAAGGCGTTTACTAAAAAAATATTTATTTTTTATATTCGTCTTTAATTATGAATCATAAATCATGATTTATGATTCTCTACAGAATTTTTTTTTCACAAAAAATACACGTAAAATGAGAATAATTTTAAATCATGGTTTTAAATCCATAAACCAAATGTCTAATAAGACTTTTGCTTAGAGGCTTAATGGGGACTAAAAATGGATGGCAAAGAATTGCCTGTTTAAAGGTGAACTAAATAAAAAGATCTAACCTGTCTATCAATAAATTCAGTTTTTCAGCAAGAAATAAAAAAGTAAAAGAAAGATTGTTCCAGCTTATCCATTTTAAAGTCTTTTTAAGACCGATTTATGTAGAAGTGAAAGTTCGAACGACTCGAATGCAAATTCCAAATCAGACCGGCTCAACCCGACCCTAAAGCACGATAGGCCCCGAATAAATGAGTTAAGTAAAAATAAATGTCAATAACCATACATAAACGTATTTTTTTTTTCAAGACATTATTTCTAACAATCTCTTCCTCTCTCTAAACTAATAAGACATAAATATATATTTTTAAGACATCCAATATGAAAATAGAAAACCCTACAATCTTATGTAATTAAAATGCTCAACTTTATTACCAATTGTGAACTAATTAAATGATTTATTTTAGTCATGGATCCTTATTGCATTTGCTCATATAATAACACAATTTATTATATTAATCATTAAGATATGTATAATTGTATAAAACTTTATTCCAAAATAACGTCAGAGAAAAAAAAAATACAAATATGCTTTGAGTGCACCTACCCTAACATTAGTGCTCCTCTTCATCACGACTTCGTGTTTGAATCTATGACATGTTTACTTACTATGAGTGGGGAATGAAAATTGAGAATTGAAATAAATCCCATGTTTACTTACCCATTTTTATCTTAGAATGAGAGTGAGAATGTGTGAGTCTCACACCAATTTGGGTTGAAGAATGGGATTGGCACTCCTCCCACCCTCCACCGATTGACACTCTCAATCCTAATAGTAAATGTGAATTATGATTTTACACTTAGTTCTACTAACAAATTTGTGAATAGAAAAGTAAAAAGTAAAAACTTGAAAATGCTCTAATTTACTTTCACGCCTCTCGTATCTCATTGCTCACTTTCTCTGATATTTTCTTCTCTTCAAAACACAACATTGCATCCACAACAACCAATAGCATCCCTCTTCTCTTCAAGGTAAGTCAATAACATAAATCAGTGTGGTTCTTTTTTATTGAATTGCAAGTTTATTTTTTTATTTTTATTTTTTTTGTGTTTATTTGTTGAATATGTGATCAAACCATGTTTTGTCCCTTGATTACACAACATCATTTCAAGGATTCGTGGAGATCCAGACCAATACAATTTTTAATTACTAATTAAAAAAAATCTATGTGTGATTAAAAAAAATCTAATTACTAATTAGTTATCTTAATATTAAGATAGTTAGCATAATATACAATTTATTTATTTTTTTAAAGTTCAACACACAAAAATCTACTAGAAGGCTAGGAAAGTAAATTTATAACAGTTTATTCCGATTCTGGGTGAAAATAAACGCATGAATGGAATTAGGACTGATTCTGACTCCGTTTCTTGTAACCTAAGTAAACAACTTATTTTGACTCCGATTCCTATCCACTCCGAATCCTGTCCACTCCGAATCCTGTCCACTCCGATTCATGTCTACTCCGAATCCTGTCCACTCTAATTCATGTCCACTCCGATTATGGATAAGTAAACATGCCATTAGTGTAGTAGCACTCCGGATATTTGGCATACTTCTTCAACACAAAGTCAGCTAGATCACGCACGTCCTTTCTTCAGCGTAAAGTTACATCAGAGCTAGTAAACTTGACCATTTAATAGGGATTTACATTAATCCTGAGTGGTTAGTAAACTTACATATATCTATTTAATGTGTCTTCTGCTTTGCTAGCGATTGAGATGAATTTTTAACTGATACAATAACTCCATAAGTTGGTGATGTAATATTATGGATAACTTTTGTTAGATTTGATGTTACGTTTAGTGTTCCAGATGATGTTGGAACACTATTTGGAACACGGCTTGATTAATTAAGAACCGGGTTAATTACGTTCAGTTTCTCAAGCAGAATAAAGTACAGAAAGTAAAGGAACACACAATATGATATCGCAGTTCGGTGCGCACACCTACATCTGCGAGGCCACGCCCAGACAGTAAACAGTTTCACTATGTTCCAGAAATTACAGACACCGGATGAACTTATTCACTTAAGGACTCCCTCCTAGACAATGACGCCGCTGTGATGTATCTCCACAGTGATTGTTTAGCGTGCACCACACGTCTTTTATTCACCTGACGAACTCCCTTCGACCGGCAGAGCTTCCTCCTGAAAGCAACAAATCCCTCTCCCAAAGGATGATCTCAATAACTCATAAAAATTCACAGACGTCTCTCTGAATATTTTCTCAGTAATAAGCTCTCAAATTTACAGACTTTTCCTTTGGAGATGTTCTATTAAAATCGTATCTCATATACTCTGAAACAAAACCTTTAAATAAAGTCAAGAGAATCTCATTCAAATACATTCTCGATAAGATCTCTATTATCTCCATGATTCTCTCTCCTAGATAGGCTCCAAAATATCTTCACATTATCTTCTCAATCTCCAATTCAACTTATCCATCAAACCTTCAAATCCGAATTAATTTTCCTTGATGCAAGATAACACTTGATCTCCGAATGCCTTATCTTTCGTTATAGCAAGTTATATTTGAATTTTCTTTGACCAAGTCAAATTTCAAGTTCCAATCACATGTGCAGCTCAAGCTTTAATCTTCTTTATATAGCTCACGTGAATGCAATATATATATATATAATAAGCCATTCAAATTTCAAATCTCCAATAATCGGATGAAGCCAAGAATTCGAATCCGAAAACACCTTGATCTTCATGCAAGCTTTATCTCCCATTTAAATTCAAATAACCAATGCATTATATTCCTTTGATTAAGGCCTTATCCTTATCTCTCCAAATCTGATTCTGATTCTTCTTCTGCAATATGAAATCTTCTTGAACTTGTTTTTTGAAGTTTTATAAGATTGCCAATAAATTGCCAACTAATAAAAATACCTAACAACTTTAAACATTACTTCATAGATTAATTGGAATGCCCAACTTTGCTAAGAAGCAAAACAGTAGTCCCATAAGTATTATTTCAGTATTTAGGTAAATGGGATCGTAAACCTATTGGATATTAGATATTAAATAAATCTCTTTATATTTATGATAGGATCCTAAATAATAGGTAGAATTAACGGAACTAAGAGAAAAAAAAAATGCAATTAGAGAGGTTAAATGAAATTTATAACCTAACTCTAATTATGAATATAATGGACAACCTTTTAAAGTCCCTTGTAATTTGTGTAACAGAAAATTGTTATGATTATAAACAACCTTAGAATTTTCATTTAAAGGTCCTTGTAATTCATATATTCTTTGATTTTATACTAGCACAAATAAGTGTTAATAATTATAAATATAAATAATAATCATTGGATCTTAAATCATACACATCATTGATAGCTACACATTTCTCTAGGATGAATTAATACAATTTTATTGGAGAATTTTTTGTCTCTCACGACTGATATAAATTCACCTAGTACAATTACTTTGTATCGGTTGGCACCAAACTGACGGCGTCTAGGGCACTTTGGTAGCGCGTTTGCATGTGACACTGATATATATATATATATATATATTTGCTGCAAATGTAACACTTATATAATTTTAGTACATATATTTTACATGACAGTGGATTTTTAATTGCATAAAAAGTACTTTTTGATTGTTAAGAGCTGGTTTGGTAACATTTATTTAAACAACTTTTGTTTTCTTAAACGAAAAAGCGAACTTTTCCAGAAAACAAGTTCGTTGACTTGTTTTTTTTTTTTTTTTTTTTTTTTTTTTTTTTTTTTTAAATTTTTATTATCAAACCTTTTAATTATGAAAAGATCTGGAGGTTAGTAGAGGAAGATTGAGGCTTTGTTGTTTTAACAAAATTCGTGGGCTGCATTAGCGGTTGACGATTAAGAAATTACCAAGGCTCATACCAAGCATCTCTTTTTGAGAGCGTTGATCAAGTAAGACTCCGTTTATTTAACCGATTCGAATTTAAAATTCGAGTTTTGTTACAGTAAAAAACTTTCAGAAACAGTCACATCTAATTTTTTTACTACAGTAAAAAACTCTCATATAAAGTCACATATCAACGCGAATTAAAAACTCGAATTAGTGAACTAAACGGGCCTATAATAACTTCATTTTTGTGCTTCTGAATCATGAAGACAAACCAAAACCACTTGCTTCTCTCTCCCTCTCTATAAAAAATGCAAAGTAGCTGATGTTTGCTTATACTCCTCGGTTAAGTGATTGAAACAATATCGTGGCCCTGCATTATAAAATTAGTTGGATAAGAATTGGAACATCTTTCTTTGCACAGACGATCTCAGTTCGTTCAAACAGTGATACAAACCCAGCTTGTTACTACGTACATCCCACATTGTTCCCCTGCAATCCCACCCACTTACTTTGTCGTTCCACCATAATTGCCTAGCAATTTGTTATTAATTTAAAAAACACAATTCCACTTCAGCATCATTCATTTGTGACTCGCCGAAGCCTAAATAAAAATATATGTCCACTTATATACATCTCATTTATGTTGTGGTGATAAGTTTCGTCTACTCAGATTTTATATGGTTTTCTTTTTTAGACCTGTACTTATCCAAAAGATTTAAAGTATGCAACAGTTGATATAAAAAAACATGTTCATTATTGTATTTATATCAATGAAAAAGACCTACACTAGAGGTAGAAGCCGTTTTGGAAGAGTCAAGATTTATTTTTGTGAAGCTCAATCTTATGTAAAGTTACGTGCACGCCATTGGAAAGAAAGAAAGAAAAGAAAACAAAATAAATTTCATGTTATTTAGTAGAAACATTGGTTTAACCGTTATGTTTCTTACTATTACAGTGTGACACATAAAAAGAATGAAATGAATATGTAACAAATCATAAATACTACATCATGGATTTTTGGTTGAAGCTTAAAGATATTAGAAGTACTTTGTCCTCATGAAACATGCTTTTTCGAGGGTGGAAATTTTATTGTTTACGTTGTTGTCGTATCATTTGGTTGATCTAAACTTTTTGTCTCTTTTATCTCGGCTTGATGCTCCAACACTGGTTCAAGAAGAGATTCCATCTTGTCTTCCGCTTCTTCCACCTACGTTTTTAGACCAAAAAAAAAAAAAAATTAATAATTAGTAGCAGATATAGATCCATTACTAAGCCATTATAATACTATTTATATGGGTGCTTAAAACTTGCTAAAGGGGAAATCGAGAACTTATTTTAGTTTAGCAAATTATCATTCAAACTTTTAATTTTGACAATTAATTCTTGAACTTGTAAAATTATTACAATGTGTTCAATTTTATTAAATTTACTTTTTTTGTTAGATTTTAGTGATTAAAAGTTGAGAAATTGAAATATTTATATTATATTTGAAATGAGATATTAAAATTTTTCGTTGAACGTGTTTTTTGACACTAATTTAACACAATCATTGTCAAAATTAAAAATATTAGAATAATTTTATGAATTAAGAAGACAACTTATCAAAATAAAAAGTTCAAGAGACAAATTACTGTACAAGTTTAAGGGACAAATGTGTAAAATATTATTAATTTCTATTTTTGAGCGTTGAATCCCGTTAAAATCATATCAAAACAAAACAATAAGAAAAAATAAATAATTTTTAATATAGATTTTAACTACATGTCATTTATTTTTTCAAGATCTGCTGGCTGTAAAAACGTTTGATTCAAAATGCATGACCCACACACAAACAATTATCTTTCCTTAACTCACGAGCCTCTAGATAATATTTATAGGTTATTGACTAAGAGGCCTCCATTGACTAATTATAAATGATTTTTCCTATATGATCTCTTTTCTTTTCCTCTTTTTACAGCTAGATAAATTAGTCAGACATGATTACCTACCGCGTAGAGTCTACTTTAAAATAAATCAACTTGTCAAACAAGTTGTTTTGACTACAAGGAAATTAATAAACAAGTCTTAACTTATATTCAATGCGAAAGGAAAGATAACCAAAACAAAATCTAGAAGGGAACGTTTGATTGAAAGATTCGTGTTATGGTTTGGATCATAATTCGTAATTTGTTATAATATTTTTTTTTATAAAAAATACACGTAAATTAAAAATAATTCTGAATCATGATTCTAAATCTATCAACTAAACATTTTTTTGAAGACATTTTTATTGTCCACAAACCATGCTGTATTATATGAGGATATATATTTAGTTAAATCTAAATTATAATTACTTTTGTAAGAGTAATTAATGTGGCAATAACTCGGAAATTAAGAGTAAGTAAAAACCTTTTCAATGAACTCGTCTACATTGTGAGCGTCCTTGGCTGTTTCTTTGGCTATCGTTTCAATAACATCCAATGCATCCTTAAGCTTTCCATTCGGAAGTTTATTTCCGATATCGTCGGCGATCTCCTCCACTTTCTCGGCCACATGTTCTACAGCCTCAGCCACAGCTTCAGCTGTCTCTACAACCCTGTCTATCTTATCTGAAAAATTAAAGACATTTCTTTAAAATCGATCTTCAGATTATCACATTACTTAAAACGACGTATTACATACATGTATTTATGCATATATGTATGCAAATCTATATGTAAGTCTGATAAACTGGAGGCTTAATTATAAAGTTGTAACAATTATTTATGTACTAATATGATCAGCTAATAAGCATAGTTTTACTTACTTTTAATTGTTAAAAAGTTCCCCCATTTACCGCTGCAGAGAGGGAGAATCAGAGTTACCACCACTCCCAAAATCCAACCTTGCCTGTTCAATTATACCATTATACGCAAGACATATATATATATATATATATATATATATAGTTAGCTTCTTATCATAAATATTAATTTATAATGTTAAATATATATTTTTTTTTGATAAAAACTAAATCAATCATTTAGATTGTAACTTACCAAGAATTCCAAGGACCTCCACCTGAAGCGCCTGGTTCAACACAGTTGCAGACAAACTTATCCCTGCATCTTGAATAATTGAAAAAAAAAAAATAAAACAATTAGCTAAAAAAATTGACCAGTTAGAGACTAATCATTTTAGAAAACTAGAGTTTAGAGACGAAATCTTCATTTATTCCCGGAATATGAAAATGATTTGGTGGAGCGATAGAAAAGCATATAAAGTAAAACTAATTAGAAGAAAATCAACATGTAACGATCCGTATTAGTCATGCATGTGCATATATAAATAACACATATTTCAGGAAGAGAAAACCTTTATCAGAGTGGCAAAATCCTATCATATCTAATAATAATCAAGAAGAAGAAGAAGAAACAAAAACTTAATTTAAGAGACTAACACTTTTCTAGCCAAAAAAGAACCAAAAAAAAAAAAAAAAATTTACATCTTTGAGTTGCTTCTATTCCGTAGAGACAACAAAAACCCCAGCTGGTTTGCAGTGCTTAAACCTTTGTGGGATTTTGTTGCTACATGAGAAGCTGGAACTCCTCTACGCTTTCCAGAAATTCCTTGGTTGCTAAACGAGCTGCAAGGAACTGTCCATGTCAATTTCAGCATTGTTTATCGTCGAAAACTTGATCGATCTCTTTTCCGAAGAATATCCGGAAATGGATTTTTATCTTAGTGATCAATTATTTTCTTATAAAGAGAAAATTTGCTTGTTTTTTGAGAGGTAATTTACTATGAAGATAGAAGACCTCGCGTAGAATATTTATATATAGGGCCTGTTTGTGTGTATGATACGCACCAATGAGAATACATTAATTGCGAAACTAGGAAAATTAATTGGTCACCAAGCAAATATTTGAACGACCAAAAAAAAGTCTTGTATGTTTGTGTAGCGGATTAGGTAAAAGTCAAAACTGACCGAAGAGAAAAGGTTAATGCATAGAAAAAGCCTAATTGATGCGTATGGCAAATGGTTCTTATATCTAACAGTCAACGTCGAATATTTCTTAGTTATCTCTATAAGCCAACGTGTAAATTTTAGCTATATTTTTCTAATTTCCATGAAATTTCTGGGATTTTGTGGCAATATTACGATTTAATAATTTAAGAGATGTTTGTTTCCTGTATTCGTTATTAATTTTGAATCACGAATCATGATTCTTTACAGTATTTTTCTCTTATAAAAAACACACGTAAAATGAAAATGGTTCTAAATCATAATTATGAATCCATGAACGAAACGTCCCCTTATACAGCAAGAATTTTTATGTCATCAGCAGCTTGGTTGGCTTTATCCTTAAAAACCCGTTTGGAGAGGGTGGTTTTAGCAAGTAATTGCTGACAAGGATAGAAAAATAAAATTGAGAAGCAGCCTCGAAACAAGTTGATATAGTTGTCTCATTAAGCAAAATATACCACGTCTGTAGTGCATTAGTTTTAGCTACGCTTAAAGTTTTTCTTTCCCCTGCATATAAAATATATTTTCGTCTAAATATATCAACAGTACTTTGTGATTTAGCAAACTCTTTGCCACTCTTTTAATTCTTTATGTTATCAATTAATCCTCAAAAACCGTAAATCTTGACAAATTCACTCCAAACAATGTATAATGTTAGAAAAATCTATTGCAGTATGCCAATCATTTGCGCAATTTTGAAAGGAGGCAATTTAAAATAACAAAAAAATCACGTGCTTATAAAAACAATAAACAAAAAACAAAAACAAATTACAAAGGGGATTGGAGCTACTAGATGTTAGAGAGATTATAATATGTCTTGATCAAGATCACAAGTTGTTTGAGTATTAAAACATGAAAATTCGTGTTAAAGGGACTTCAAAAAGTTGCAGTAGACAAACTGCTTTGATTCGGCCAAACCGGCTGCAGCTGAAATATTTTGGCTGCAGTCAAAATGTTTGCATGTCTCGGGTCCGTTTGCGGCTGCAACAGGAAAACATCCGCTGCAACGGAAATTATGCAGAAAATAATGTTTTCATGAGTTTATGTGATCTAAAACGTTTCGAACTATTACATCCATTGGTGATATGTTTTCATAATATCTGAACACCAATTAACAATAGATATAACTATTGTAATAGGTGTATTAATCCATGAAAATATACCTTTATATTGAAAATGTAACTTTATGTGAATGGTTGTAATGTTTAAAGAGGATGCATTCATTCATGAAATGACACCTCTGTCTTTATTAATTATCCAGAAAATTTACAGACTTAATTCATGTTCTGGAACTCAATATTATTGCTACATATTGTGTTCAAAAGTTTGTTGTATCTTGGGGGTAATTTATCATTAAAACTCATTAATAAACTTTGAGAAATGAAGGCAAATAAAACCTTAAGGGAAAGTATTCCTATACGCCTCAAACCCTCTCTTATTTTCTGCATTCTTTTCACCCTCTACACTCAAATTCTCTAATAATCTTTAAGGTTTTAACTTGCTGCAATGGAGGTTGAAAAGAATATGACGTATTTCCTCAATCCGAATGTCCAACTCGATAGATTTGACAATACCAATTTCACCCGCTGGAAAGGAAAGTTGTTCTTTCTTCTCACTGTGCTCAAGATTGCCTATGTGCTTAATCCGAAGTTGGAGCCTCTTCCGAAACCGATGGAGGATGATTCCGAAGACTTGAAGGCTGCAAGGAAGAAGCGTGAAGATGATGAAGTCATGTGCCGGGGTCATATTCTCAACATTCTCAGGCTCTACGATCTCTACAACTCGATGGAGTCTTCGGTGGAGATTTGGAACGCTCTCAAATACAAGTATAAAACTGAGAAGGAAGGTACAGATAAATTTCTCATCTTGAAATATATTGAATTTGTCATGGTTGATAACAAGTCCGTTCTAGATCAAATACATGAATTGCAAGTCATTGTTACTAAGCTTCATGAATTGAAAGTTGAAATTTCTGAATCATTCCAAGTGGGGGCAATTATTGCTAAATTGCCTCAAAGTTGGAATGGTTATAGAAAGAAACTCCTTCATAGGAGAGATGACATAACTTTAGAGGAATTACAAAAACACTTGAGGATCGAAGAAGAGACTAAGTCTCGTGATCCCAATGGCAAGATTATAGATTCTTCTAAGGTTAATGTTGCTGAAGCTAGTAAGTTTTTCAAGAACTTCAAAGTCAATAATGACAAGAAGTTCAAAAAGCCCGGTAATGGCCAAAAGAAATTTTCTGGAAATTGTTTTTTTTTTTTTTTATGGAAAGAAAGGCCATCGTCAAAATGACTGCAGATACAAGAAGAAAAAGGAAGAAGTTAACACCAACAGGGCCAATACTGTTGAAGAGAAATCCGAAGACATTTGTGCTATGGTCTCGAAAATGTAAATTGGCATGATTACTGAAACTAACATGGCTACAATAAATTCCTCTGAATGGTGGCTTGATTCCAGTGCCACAATCCACGTTTGTAATGACAAGAATTTGTTCTCATCATATAAAGTGGAAAAGGAAGGGCAAACAGTTCTCACGAGGAACAATGATGCAGCGATAGTTGCCAGGAGAGGAATGGTGGAGATCAACTTTACTTCCGAAAAGAAGCTTACTTTGAACAATGTTCTTCATGTTCCTGACATTAGGAAAAATCTTGTATCCGCTAGTCTAATGTGTAAGAATGGGCTTAAGATTGTACTTGAAGGCAATAATTGTTTTGTATCTAAGAATGAGATCTTTGTGGGAAAATGGTATTCTTGTGATGGCATGTACAAACTAAGTGTTAATAATAAAGATGATGTGAATTCTCTTTATATTGTTGATTCTTTTGATGTTTGGCATGCACATTTAGCACATTTAAATTTTAGATCTTTGAAATACATGTCTAAGCATGGTTTGATTAATTGTAAAGATATTAAAAATGATAAATGTGAGATTTGCATACAAGCAAAGATGACTAAGAAACCTTTTCCCAGAGCCGAACGTAATACTCAAATATTGCCCTACATCCACTGTCGCTGAGATATTCCGCCTCTCGACCTCTTTCACTATTCGATCGACTTTCCGGCACGATCACTCCTCTTACAAGAAGGCGAATTTTTCTACCCGAGACTTCGCCTAACCTCTTACACAATGTCGATTTTCCACGGAGATCACCTAACCAAGTAACCCAATACCAAAGTAATGATTATGAGTAATGAAGCACTTAGTTTCACTCTCCTAACAAAGGTTTTACACAATTTGAAATCACTAGGAGATGATGAACTCACACTATCACAATATAACTCAAGTTAGGCTCAATTATGTGTGAGAGAGTTAAGGATTTAGAGAAGATGATGATTATGTGGACGCAATGAAGAACTCTCTTTTTGATTTTTGAAACTTTGAACTCGTTCTCTGTTTTTCGCAAAGATTCCTATTGAGAAAAAATGACTTTTCTCTATTTAAACTCTCTTACCAACGGTCATATTTTTGCCCGTTTACCCAGTACCGGTCGACCGGAGCGGTTGACCGGTTGATACAAATTTGAATTCATGCTGTTCAACATTCTTACGGAGTGTCTGTTGAACAGAACCGGTCGACCGGAGCGGTTGACCGGTTGAGGCATCACCGGTCGACCGGTGCATTTAGCCTTCTCTGTCACCGAACGACGTAGGTTGACCGGATGACACTTAATTTGCCTCAAATCTTCACACATTTGTACTTTTAGGCCAAATGTCATTATGCACCAAGTTTAGTCTCATTTTTAAAGAATAATGTGAGTGTGTGCATGAGCCTAAACAAGAATTAATCATGATAGTATGAAGTCAAAATCAAATACAAGACTAAGGAGATATTAAAAAACCTATTAGTACTTGTCCAGCTTGATTTTGTTTGCTTGCTCTTGATCTTTGGAATTTTCGCACTTTAAGCCTTGAATTCCTTCTTCAATTTGCATTTGTCAATCTTGAATATATTTGCATTGTATTCCGCAAAATGCTTCTTGAGTTGATTTATAACATTAATTACGCTAAATACACAACTCAAAATAGAATCATTAGAAACATAAGACATTGTGTTTGTGATCATCAAAACATGAGAATATTCAACCTTGGGCCAACAATCTCCCCCTTTTTGATGATGACAAACACTTGATTTGCTAAGATAATATAAGCAATTACATTGTTCTTCTTTACAAGTGTTATGTCTCCCCCTTATTTAATCACTTGATACTTACTTGAAAATATTCTCCCCCTTAATCTATTAAGCCATTAGAGAGAATGCCCCAATTGATCATTTTTATATCTATTAAGCCATTAGAGAGAATACCTCAATTGATCATTTTTATATTCTCCTTTCCCCCTCAAGTGACAATAGACTAAACAACAAATAGGAACATCAAGTGACAATAGGCAATAACACTTGATACCCCATCTCCCCCTTTTGTCATCAACAAAAAAAATATCAAGTCATAACAATGTAATCACCAAATAAGTTACATTAACCATTAGTCATTCAAATAAGTTACATTAGTCATTAGTAATGAAATAACCATCAAAAGACATAGTGAAACATTAATCATTTATGTAAGAAGGAGGAGGCCCTTGAAAATTGATACGACGAAGTTGTTTAAGAATTTGTGCTTGCGTATCGGCGATTTCTTGATGATGGACTTGAAAATCGTTCTGGAGATTAGAGATGATTGAGTCGACAAAGGAGTAGAGACTTTGGATGCCAGTGTTTAGTTGCGTTCGAAGCTCATCATGACTTGCA